ACCTGCCTTCCCTGGTGGGCAGGGGAAGGTGTCAGGCAGGCATGGGCTGGCAGGCTGCTACATAACTTCCCTGCAACCTCAGGCTGGACACGAGTCCCTGGCCCAGTTTCCTTCCTATATAATCCAAATTATGGCTCCAGCCCCCCACCCACCCTGGGTCTCTCAAGCAGAGGAAGAGAGGACATTGTGGGCCACTGCTGTGGGTGAGTGGGTGGAATGAACTGGCTTGGGTTGGCTGGACTGGTCTGGAAAGGGGAGAGCAAGAGGCAAAAGGCAGGGTTCTCTGGCTCTCTGTGAAGTGGGGCTGCCTTGATCTCCATAGCAGGGAGGACAGGCAGGTACAGTATACCTGGGCAAGGATGAGTGTGTGTGTTAGTGAGTGCTCATGTGTGTGCTCTTGAACCCTGACTCCAAACTGGGGACCTTCTTGAGGGAAGAGGGAAAGATTAAGAGGGTCAAGGATGACCTAGCCTGGCTCTTCCCTTTCTCTTCACCCCAGTATCAGGCCTGACCTGGAGCAGATGCCAGGGGCTATGAACTCTGTGTGTATGCTTGTGTGTATGTACCCACAGACACCTCCTTTGCCCACACCCTGAGTCTTACCTCCCTGTGCCTTCCATCCCCAGAAATACCCGCCTCGGAAAGACTTGGTCCGAGCTGTGTCCATCCAGACGGGCTACCTCATCCAGAGCACGGGGCCCAAGAGCTGCGTCATCACCTACCTGGCCCAGGTGGACCCCAAAGGTGAGGGCTTGGCCCTGGAAGCCTATCATAGGATCCTTCCCTATACCACAGGGGATGGGGCTTGATCTAGGGATCTAGAAGGCTCTCTGTTAGGAGCTGTTTTGTATTTTGGGGCATCTGCATTCAAAGCATCATTTGAATCAAGGTTTGAGATTTTAAAGTAGCTTGAAAAAAGCACATACCAAGGGGGTAGGCTTTCTCTGCCTAGGCTCCCTCACCCCCATGCTACAACTTGCTCACTGGCTGCTTCTCTAGTCTGTCTGTCTTGCTGGCTCTCATCCTCTGTCCATTCTAGAAGCCTGGGTTTTCTAGCCTCATGCTCCTTGCCTCTGGAGAATTCAGCTACTCCCAATGCATCTGTGGCCCACTGACTACATGCTGAGATCCAGATCCCTACGGTCGCTGGGGTCCTGAACATCATCCTCAGAATGTCTTCTAGGTCCTGAGACTCACTGAGTCCAGTGCTAAACTCCTTTCTTCCCTCCTAACTTACCTTCTGAGTCTCTGCCCACCAGTCACCCATGTCAGGAACTTGTGAGTTGTCTGGGTCTCCTCCCTCAGCTCCAAATACAGTCACTGATTCGTTTTGATTCTGCCTCCTAAACAGCCCCTGAATCTGTCATTTTTCTTCATCCCAGCCACCTTGTCAGTCCGTACCAGCTACCAGGGGAATTTTTCCAAAACACTTATTTTCTTAGGACGCTCTTCTGCTGAAAATTCTTCTGTGACTCTCCATTACCCTCAACGTGAAGTATAGGTCCCCTCCCTGGGTTTCATAGTCACCCCTCATACCTTCCATATGCCTGCCTTCCTGTCTTGTTAGCCCTCTCCCTTAGCCTAGAAAACTCCTCTCTCTGCCTTCTTACCACCTCTGGGGTGCTTCAGATGTTGCCTCCTTTATCCTGAATACCCATGGATTTGCTGGGCCCAAACCCTTGTAGTAGAGCATTCAGCACACTGTTTGGCCCCCCAGACAATGAGTTCCTTTCTGACTGGCTCAGGGTGGGTATCACTGAGTGATTGTGAAGTGAATGAATGAATGAATGAATGACCAGGGCATCTATTCAAAGTATTTGATGCTCACCTTGTATGGATGCCCTGAGCATCTTTGCCTGGGTATGCCCCAAGCCCCATGAAGGGACCACTGGTCCAGGCCCAGGGCTCCCCAGTACCTCATTAAGAATGTAGACTGTCAGAGTCAGAGCAAATACTTGGGGATGAAGCAGGGTGGAGAGTTGGGCTGTGGATTCCAGGTAAGGTCAGGCTGGGGTGCTCAGCCAAGAGGCCTCCGTCAGCAAGACTTCCTGGGGTAGGGGGCTTGGAAGGACAGACAGAGGGGCTGAGCACAGGGCCATTCACAGTGGAGGGATGTCAGTGTGAGCAGCGGGGAGGCTTAGTGGGTCAGGATTTTCATTCAGATGTAGCCTGTGATCTCCGTGGACCCTGTGCTTTTCTTCCATGCTACCTTCTGGGGTCCAGCAGAAGCAGGGAGGGCAATAGAGTTGAGCCTGAGGACCTAGGTCTTAGGTGGAAACAGGGTGTGAAATCTCCTTGGCCTCACACACACCCTACCTGCCTACCTTGAAGCCCAGACTGGAGGAAGGGGGCTTGTTGGTGTGTTGGGCGGGTCATGGGACCCCAGAGACTGCTTCCCCCCCACCTCACGACCCTTCCCCTGCCCCCATAGGCTCCTTACCCAAGTGGGTGGTGAATAAATCTTCTCAGTTCCTGGCTCCCAAGGTGAGTGACCTTTAGATTCTGAGGGTGCGGAGGCTGGGAGAGAAGTAGTGGGCGATTTTTGGTTATGGGGCGTGGGGGGGGGGTCAGAGGTGGAGCCTGGGGATCAGGGCGTGGTTAGGGGCGGGGACGGGATTACAGAACCTGTCAGTCACGATGCTGAGAGTTGAGGCGCTGGAGGGGGAGGGGACGTGGCAAAGAGCTAGTTCCGTGCCCTGATTCTGCCGTCTGGTGGGTCCACAGGCGATGAAGAAAATGTACAAGGCATGTGTCAAGTACCCTGAGTGGAAACAGAAGCACCAGCCGCACTTCAAGCCCTGGTTACACCCGGAGCAGAGCCCGTTGCCAAGCCTGGCGCTGTCGGAGCTGTCAGTGCAGCATGCGGACTCACTGGAGAACATCGACGAGAGCGCGGTGGCCGAGAGCCGGGAGGAGCGCACGGGCGCTGGCGGCGAGGGCAGCGACGATGACACCTCGCTCACCTGAGTCCAGCCCCGCAGCAGGGACCTACACAGGACTGGGCAGGGCCTGGGGCGGTGGATCCTCCCGTGCGTTCTCCCCTCCCCCGCCCCTTGCGCCTACTAGGGACGCGGGGTTCGGGCCCCGGTGGGCGCTGCGGCCTGGCTGGACACAGCCCCAATAAAAGATCCTACAGCCTCAGCCAATTCATCGCTATGCCTGCTTCCCACCTCTCCTGATCTGAGGCCCTCGGTCCCCTTGTTCTAAATTCATTTTGTTAATTTTATTATTGATCACCAGTTCTTTGCTCCTATGTGGCTGGGGGCAGAGGGTATCACTTGGCCAACATGGTGTGTTGCCCTGTGTCTATTCATTAGGTCACTCTTCATCCCTCCATCTGTCCTCGTGTGCTCATTCTGCCTTTCACGCCAGGCTATTTGGTTAATTTTCACTGCTCAGAGGCAAGTCAGGAGTCAGAGAGTAGGGTTCTACTTTGTCACCCAAGGCCCAAGTCTCCTTGGTTCCATGTGGACTAGGGATTTCAGTCATCAGCAGGGAAAGGGAGAGGCCCCTGAATCTCGGGCCACGTGATTGTAGGCCACAGAGCTGAGGCTGGGGCAGCGTGTTCTAGAAGAGAAAGATGGGGGGGGGGTGTTTACGTGAGGCTTCTTGGCCTCCAGTGTAGTGGAGGGACTAGATTCTGTGATTCAAACCCTCCCAGGATCATTTTGCGACTTCAGACTGGTGTTAAAGGGTGGACCCCTAGACCCTGTCAGTAGTCAGAGGCCAGACTGCTGGGCCTGTGTTCCATCTGGCTGCTTTGAGATTGGGCCTCCCCTGTTCTCTCTGGCCCCCAAGTGCTCTCTGCTGCCAGAGGGACAAACCCTGCTGTCAGGTCTGGAGGAGAGCCTTGTGCTCTGTCCCTCCCCAGTGTTCTGCACCCTATATGAATTTGAGGCTGGGAAGTGTCCCCCAAAGTCTGGCCCCGCTCTCCCCAGCCCCCAAACTCCTTACCAGGAAGACATAACATACTTGGAGTTCACTCTTGCCCAGAGGGTTAGGCGAATGGCCAGTCAGGAGTAGGCAGGAAATTCTATAACTCATCAAGACTGAGGTTCTAACTTCAGTTTCACATAGTACAGACTTTGTAACTTTGGGCAAGTTCTGGAACTTCTTATATCCTCATTTTCTAATCCATAACCTGGTGTGATAATTTATGAGGATTGAGATAAAAGGAGTAAGTTGCTCAGCACAGGGTCTGGCATGTAGTGGGTCTCTAATTAATGGCTCCCAATCTCAGAGTAAACCCCTGTGCTCCACCCTGGTGAGAGCTGTTCTTCCAAATATCCCCATGGGACATATGGAGAACTAGAAGCTCAGAGAAACAGAGAAGTTCAGGTCTCTGAGGTGCCCCAGATACAGGACCCACATCCACACATGTGCTGGCAGGACTGGCAGGAATCTCTCCTCCATACCAGGGAAGGTGTCTGGGTGCCAGGACCTCAGACTGCAGCTTTTGACCAAGGTATTTTTGCACTGTATCCTGGGGAGACTCTTCCCTACCACTCTTGTCTCTGTGGGATGTGGGTCCAGGGAGAAAAGTGGGATATCCTTGGAGGATGAGGTGGGGAAGGACTTCGTGCAGGAGGTGGTCAAGGGCCTGGGTAATCCTTTCTCCAACTGCTTGTGATCACTCTTGTTGGCGGGGCGGGGGGTATGGGGGGGCTGAACCCCTGGGTGTGTGTGTGTGTGTATGGCTCATCTCTCCCGCGGGCAGTCATCTGGAGAAGGGGTGGCAGGATGCAGGGAGATGGGGTAGATGGAGGCTGAGATGGCCGTGGTGGAGGGAGGCAGCCCCGAGAGCGGCGAGAGGCTCAGGGGAGACACACCCACCGATCCTAAAGGCGTGCCTGGCGGGCGAACTCAAAGACGGCGAGTGGGCGTGGCCTGGAGGGGCGTGGCCTGCCCTGTCCCCGCCCTCCCCTCGCGGGGCGTCACGTGGGGGCGGGCGGAAGCGCCCGGCGGGGTGGGCGCGCCCCGCCTGCGACGGCGAGTTGGCTGCGACGGCGTGAGTCCGCGCGGCGCGGGGACCCGGGGTCCCGGCGTGGAGTCTTCGCTCGGAACAGGTCAGTGCGGCCGGCGCGGCCTCTCCGCCCGCCGACCCTCCGCCAGGTGCGACCGAGGTCCCCGCTCCGCAGCGGGAACGCCGAGGTCCGGGCGCCCTCGCCGGCGCCCACTTCCCGGGCGTCCCTCCCGCGTCGGGTCTCCTGCCCTCCTGCCCGCTGGGGTGGGGGCGCCCCTGGAGGACGTGCGGTCGGGCCGCGACGGGAGGAAGGAGGGCAAGCCCGCGGGACGGGGGGCGTCCAGCCCTCAGCCGTCTGCGTGGAGGCTCCCCGGAGCTGGAGCCAGCCCTCCCCAGGCACCTCGGTGAGGTGAAGGCGCCTTCGTGGACTCCTGTTGACCCTTTGCCCTGGACCTTGAGCTCTGTCGACCTTGGGCAGGCGACTTCCGGTCTGCGTGCCTCGAGTCCCCGTTAGTAAAGGAGGGCAGGGTCTCCCCAGGGTCCCTACCTGGCCCAGTTCCTGGGGAAAGAGGGTGTGCGCACTGAACAGGGTCAAGCCAGGAGTGGATGGTTGGGACTGGAGCTCCTGCTTGGAGCACGGCCCGAGGGGCATGGAGTGGGTGTTTGGTGCTGCGGAACTCTCATCAGGAGCCAGCACAGTGTGGCTTCAGTCTTTAGCAACCTCTCCCCAGTGTTCCTGATCACCAGGCTGGGGGAGTGCTACAAGGTTGGAGGGATATGTGGGGGTATTCGGGATTCTGTATTCTTGGACCCGAGGTCTGCATAGAGGATCCAGGATGCCTGTTCTCCAAGAGCAGAGCGCCCAGGCTAGGAGAGACCTCCCAGCAAGCTCATTACAGGGTAGAAAGAGCCCAGTAGTCAGGAAGACAGGTGCAGACAGGTCCAGGGGTGGAATCAGGGACTAGGACTCTTGGAGGCTCAGGGAGGTGGAGATGACTGGAATGATTTTTAGCAGTTAAATGGTAATTCACAAGGTTAAGGTTTCTATAGCGGAGAGCTGAACTTGTGCAAAGGCAGGGATTTGCATGGCAAATTTGAGGCATGGCAAGAAGATAGGTTTGGCTGAAAGGGTAGCAAGGGCAGGGTATAGAGAAAACTTACCCCATGTCCCGTGGCTGAGTGGGGATTGTCCAGATCCTGACCTGGGAACTTTGCCTTCCCATTACTGGCTGCTTCCTGAAGCAGAGCAACAAGAGGTTGACCCCACAGATTCCTGACAATGAGGAGGTGGAGGTGGACAGAGGCCACCAGGGACCCAGCTTGCCCCCAGGTTTTACTGGGGCACTTAGACCTCCCCACAGCCCCATCCTTACCCCCACCACCTCCAACCATGCTTTTCCACACATTAAACATTTGTGCAGGTTGCTTTCCTTTCCCCACCCTACACTTTTCTCTCCATTCAAATCTCCTAGGTAATTTGTGACTTCAAAGGTGAACGTTCTTACCTCCTCCTGCCTGTGTGGCATAGCTCAGGATGGTTCTCCTTGCAGAAGCTCTGTGGGGAAAGGACTTGCAGAACCAGGGGGATGACTGAGACCTGGAGCAGTCCCTGTGCAGCCACCAAATGCTACGGCTCTGCAAATCCCTAAACTCAGAGCCTCCATTTCCCCATCCACAGGATGGGATGATGAGCTCTGGTCCATGCTCCAAACAGAAACTGTGCTGGCCTAAGAACTGGGCCTATCTGAATCTAAACCCTGCTCTTAGCAGTGCATGTTTCAATGAAAAAAAGGGACAATCTGGGCAGGTGGTAAGGGGCCTCAGAGAGTCCTAGCAGCTAGTGGCAGACTAGTCCAGTACTTAGTCTAGTGCACTGGCTCGAGAGAGGATTCCCCTCCACTCTTCAGGGCCCTCTCCCCTCCCCACCTCACTCTCTTTGGCCAAGCTCAAAGCCAGCCGGCTGATGCCCAAACAAGTAGCCTCTGTTCCCAGGGCGGGGGGAGGGGAGGCAGGCCCTGGGCTGCAGGCCCGTCTGTCCAGTGCTGACCCTGGCCCTCTGCCCTGCACTCTGCATCTTAACCCTTGGGGGCCTGAGCTGGTTTCTGGGCCGCTTGAGGTTGGGTATCCTTTACCACCATTGTCCCCTCCATCCCACTTCAGGCTCCCAAAAAGTGTTCTATTGCAGCAGGAGGGAATGCAGTGAGCATGAGTTGCAAGTGGAGAAGGAAGGAGGGAAGGGGTAGCAGAGCAGGAGGGAGGCTGGAACAAACAGGGCCATGGACAGTGAGAGACCATTTAGCCCCAAAGTTTTTTCACAGATGGAGAGACTGAAAACAGGAATCAGAGATCAGGGATCAGAGCAGAGTCATACATCAAGCCCTGGTGGAATCCGGCCTGACTCTGGCTCCTCCTGGGGAAAGGAGGGGAAAGGGGAGGAGCTCTCCTTGATGAGTGCCTACTGTGTGCCTGACACTGCACATTTGTTTCTTTATTTAAGGTCAGATCACTCCATGACAAAGGCCACCGTCCTATAATGTAGGGGAAGAAAGTGAGAGTTGAATAGTAACAAAAACATCTGCAAACACGCTGATGTTTTGAAACGAAAGTGCCAGCACTTCTCTATATATTAACCAGTTTAGTCCCTGACAGCCACTGGAGACAGACCATTCTACACATAAGGAAACTAAGGCAAGAGAGACTACAAAACTTGGCCAGGATTACAGCAAATAAATGGCAGAGACAGGATCAGGACTCAGGCCTTGCCTCCTTTGGCTTGATTTTCCCTCCCCCCAGCCTGACCTTACCCCTTGAGCTGAGCCCAGGGTCCAGCTGTGTGAGGGACTATCCTCTGGGTGGTGGTCAGGGCAGCCTTGAGAGACTGTGACCCCAGCCAAGCAGTCCCATCCCCTCCCTTCGCAGCAGAGTCTATCCCTGGGGCAGCCTCTCTCTCCCACCCCTCTGGCCTCATGCAGGCTGGGTTCACCCCCATTATAGCCTCTGCAGAGAGGCGTTTCAGATTTCGGCAAGGGGATCTGCATTAAGGGTGGCTCCTCCTGGGGTGTGAACAATAAGAGATTGTAGGGGGCCCTCAGAAGTCCCCTGCAGATGCACTTCACAGAGCACAGGCACTGCTGCTGACTCAACCGCAGTGCCCAGTCCTGATCAGAGAGGACAGCTTGCCCACTTAACCCCTCTCCTGTCAGACCCCCAGAGCCATGTTTCCAGCTAGGGCTCTGAGGATAGTCCCAGCCCAAAGAGGAGATGACCCTCGGTGCCAGGGGCTACCTTGCGGTGCAGTGCCTGGCTGGTCTTCCACACATCCTTCCTGTGGAATTTCTCTGTCTCATCTTCTAGGTCATAGTTCAGAAGGGAAAATCCTGTTTCACAGTCAGGACCTCTGTCTCAAACCATTGCAACAGCCCCAGTAGTTAGGACTGACCAGCTCAATAACAAAATTACTCTTCAATCGTAGTAATAGTTATAGTAGTAGCAGCAGCTGCTGTTTCGGGAAAACTTACTGTGTGTCAAGCAGTCTATGTACTGATTTCATTTAATCCTCAATAATCATTTTGGGGGCAGGTGCCATTCCCTTTTTACAGATGGGGAAACAGGCCTGCAGAGATTAGGTGATTTGCCTGAGATCATCCACTACATAGAAGAGCTGGGAGTGTTGCTTCACAGTCAGACTCCCGAGCACTGGGAAGCACCACAGGCAGAGGACGCCAGCCCTGCTCTACACTGGGAACTCCCAATCTGGGTGGACGGCAGGGCCTGGAGGGCCGCCTGGTCAGGCAACATTGCTGTGCCTGGCTGAGGGGGATGCCTGGGAAGGCATCCTGCTGGCAGACCGGGCTGGCTGCTGTGGAGTGCTGAGCTCTCAGGACCCAGCCTCAGTGTGAGCACCTCCTGGTGAATACATCGGTTTTTCCAGACCCCGTTTTGCTGATGGGGACACTGAGGTCAGTACTAGTGAAGTGATTTGCCTGAAGTAAGTAATTAGCAGCTAAGAAAGGAGAGACGTGGGACTGGTATCCAGACAAGGAACTCTGGGGCCTGGCCAGGGCCTTCCAGGCCTCTGAATCTCTGAGTTTCCTTCAGACACTACACACCTGCCTTGTCATAAGCTCAGACATTTCTTTCCCACTTTTCAAGATACCTGGGATCTCTCAGGGCCTGGTGTCAGTGACTGAATGAACAAACCTGGAAAATGGTTCCAGAATTAAAGGGCTAAGAAGCAGAGGCCAACTGTGGTGCTTGGGGTCACAGAGGTGGATGGATACCTGAGCCCAGGAGCCCAGGGGAAGGTACTGCCCCTCCTCAGGGCAGGGAGGATGTGCTTGGGCTGAATGCCTTCAAGAATTTCACAGTGTCTTGCCCAGCCTTTTCTGATGCCTGTCTGGGTCTGTGGGCACTGTAGGCTGCCTTCAGAGGCCCTGGACCTGGGATAGGGAGCTTCCCCATAAGAAGGCCTTTTTCCTCCCCATGGAGGACTTGCTGGCTGGGAGAGGTCCTGGGGTCATGCTTCCCAGCCTCTTCTTGCGCCACATGCCTCTGGGATCACTGTGAGTGCCTGTGTGCTGTCTGGATCCAGACTGAGCCCAGAAGCATCCTTGGAGGACCTGGGCTTTTGCTCTGATATGGATGTGATCAGCATTCGAGGTTGGGGTAGGGAGTCCTGCTCTGCACCCCTTGCTGTGTGAGCTGAGTGAGGCTTTCATCCTCTTAAAATGTTCATCTTCCTTCAGATGTCCAGGTTGTGGTTCCACAGCTAGAATGTACTATTTGGGAAGTTTGCTCCCTGGTGGGGGGAGGGGTCTCTGAGTGCAGGGTTGGGGATTGCTAAGCCTGGGGAGGCCAAAGATCTAGAAAGTGTCTGGTGGTTCTGTTCCAGGGACATGAACCAGGACACTCATTTGCCTCTACTGCCTGTGGCCTGAAAACCCATATTTCTCAGTGCAGGGCTGGCCTAACCTAATTGGAGGAGGGGGGTTGCATCAGTATCCTGAGGTCTCCTGAGGAACTCCCCTCCCATTTCTTCCAAGGAACAGACTAGGGGCCTGGACCCTGGTCCTGACTTGCTTTTGACTCTGCTTAGGGTCTTTT